ACTACCCTCCCTAGAGAGAGCCAAATGATTTACGAGGCACCGACATTTCAAACACGTGAAATGGTGAAACAGCAACCAGCAACCACCAACAACCAACCACAACCAATTAACCACAAACCACCATTTGAGACACAGTCAATGGATGATCTTCGCACGTCACTCTGTGCGCGAGATGGCGTGGTTTTGGTCCATGTTTCCAAATGGTTTGCTTTCATGAGCCGCTCTACTGTTTGGGTACCGCACCAAACTGTGCACAGCATACGTGTGGTCTTGGACTGGCCAACAAAGGCAAACCATTTGCACTTTTCGGCGCATTCTCAGATGCACACTCTGCAAGCAACGCCAATCTGTCACAATTGGCGCCTTAGCAAACTCGATGTACACAACCTTACTGCGCCGTCGGACACGGGTTGTTTGGCCAGCGGACTTGAGAGCTTGCATTTCTGAGTGTGGTCTGCTCCCTTGATGCATTCGCGTGCCTCTAGGCAATTTGCAAGTTTGTTTGAGCAGGACAGCGATGCTTCAGTTCGGACACTGCCATTGAGCATCTTTTTTCACAAAAGTGGTGTATGTTGGTGATTCTTGCATCCACATCGTGCTGGAGAATCAGACTGCGATCCTTTTCATGACTAAGAACTGAAAAAGATGTTTGAACAAAGTTTTGACTTGATTCCGTGCCGCACTCAAGGGGTGGGTTGCTTCCGGTCAAAGGTCCTCTCCAAGATGTTCGTTGGTGATTCTTGTGTCACCATCGTGCTGCGGGGACAGACCGCGAATTCCCCTTTTCGGCAGTGCCAAAAGGAAAACAAGCTGGATCGTGTTGTTGCTGGTTTCTGGTTGCTGGTTGCTGGTTGCTGGTTGTTGGTTGTTGGTTGTTTGTTGTCGTTGTTTGTTGGTTTTGTTGTTTGTTGTTTTGTTGTTTGTTGTTTGTGGTTTGTTGTTTTTCGTTGTCCCTATACCGTAAATCACAAACCATAACCCCGACACCGCTGCCCCCTGCTCTGTCGCACAAAAACAAGGCTCCGCCCGGGCTGGGGCGCCTTCAAGTTTAACCGGATGCCAGGGTTGCCAGTTCTTCCGAACAGTCCGACCCTTCTTGAGAAGCAGCTTAGTAGCCGTGCATATGCTCGTGTGGATTTTGCAGAGTTTCTCGGTTTTTGAGAAGCAGGAAGGAAAGAATCGACCAAAGGGCCGGTGCGAGCAATCCTTGACAAATCCGATTCGCTCGGCAAGAACAGAGGCCGGCACATACAACCCCGCTGAGAGCCGGAACTGGAGGGATGTATCATACCATGGACCTTCGAAAGCCTCGACATGATGGGCGCAGTCAACTCAAAACTAGTTGCTCACAGTGGCAATTCTTGAGTTGCATGCGGCTCAATACATTGTGACTCTGGAATCATCCGGCATTTGCACTACCAGGGGTGTAAGACAGGGGTGCTTGCGCTTGTAGCACACTGCTTGCATCATTGCGTCTGAAAAGATACATAGAGATGAAAAGATCATTTTCGCATTGCCCGATGGCAAGAAAGACAAGATTAGAAGATTTTCTCCATGGCAGTGACAATTCAAGCTAGCATTACAGGCGCTTCCCAAAGCTCAATGTGTTTGAGTTGGAAACGCGCAAGCTTCAACGCATTGATTCTGACACTCAAGTGCCACCTCTTGTGATGGAACAAAACGTTCAAATTCGCTTCTTTGCCAGAGAAACTGAGTCCGTTTCAGTGACCACGTGGAATGTTCTGTGTTGGCTGCCTTTGTTTCTGCAACATTTCTTTTTTCGGCCGTTTTGGTCGGCCGAGCTTTTGTTCTTCGTTTTATTTTGCGTGAATGAACAGTGCAAAATGTCGTGAGTCGAGAGACCACTCTTCAAAGTTTTTAAGCTGATTGTTTAGCATTCTGCAGGTCCATGTTTGTCATGAACCGAAGTTTTGCCTCTGGAATCCTCATAGCCGGAAAATTTTCCATTCTTCCTTCTCTTTTTTTTCTGTTCAACTCGTATTTGAAAGATTGGGTCTAAGCAACCCGCTGATGCTGTGGCTCGTTCAGTGCTTCCCTTCTAACAGTCACTTTGCGTGGAGTGTCGTGAAAAGAGGGCAGTCCGTTCAGTGAGACAGCTACGTATTATTTTTTCAGTGCCATCATGCCGCTTTAACTTCATAGACGTAAAGCACTTTCTTGGTTGTGGTTCCATTCGAACCAAGCGGAGATGATTGCTTGATACTCGTGGATGCAATAGCCATGTGTCTTGATCGCAGCCATGTTTGCCATGCATCTAGTTTGTTCGGGTACACCACGTTTAAGCTGCCATGGTGATGGACGGATGCCGCACCATGCATGGGTACTGCCACAGAGATAAACTGTCCGTTTGGCAAATGTTTCTATGCCCACAGCGAGTGGGTCGCTGCGTTCCAAAGCGAATGCTATCATTGAGTGCAAGCGCCGATCGGGGTGGGAGCAGGCCCCGGTTGAAGAAAAATCAAGACCACAGGCGTCGAATTCGTGTGGGTGTGCCAGGCTGTGAAGATCTTGGATGCTGCAAAGCAGGCAAGCTGAATTTTGATAAGGTTGTTCGGAGGTCGCATTTCGAGACATGTCAAGAGAAGCACAGGCACCCGGACATAGCACAAACCATAAACACGTCCCTGTTGTCAGGCGTTGGAGCCAGATGTAGTTTGTGTCAACGCCGCCATCTCCAGCTGCAATGCTGCACAAGGCACTGCAGTCGTTTTCCATTTCTATTCTTTGCTTGTTTATCTGGAACGGATGAGGAATTTGCATGTTGCCTGGTTGTGTGCTCTGCAACGCCACAGGCGACGGCAGACACAGAACCAATCCCGACTGGAGAATAGCTCTTGGTCTGTGTGATGCCTAACTACATGTCGGCAATTTTCAAACTGTGATTATATGATGCGACTGCCTCCCCATCATCCAAGGCTGTCAACTGCCTTGCAGTGGTCGTTTGCTGAGTTGTGACGAGTTTATGATGTGTCGTGATGCATTGTGAAGAACATGAAGCGAAAGCCTAGCCAACCACACACGTATACACACGTGGACGCATTGTGATCTTCAGGAGCTTGAGGCCATCAGCGGTGTCGTACAAAGCCGTGGCTGTGTCAATCTCTCTGCAGTGGCGACTTGTGCGCCACGCAGAATACGAAATCGAAGTGTGATTGCGATCGTTGGATGGACATGGCCTGAAATATGGCTCCACGTGGAGAGGTACTTTGCGTCTACAATCTCCTGGAAACATCTGCAGTTGAGGCTTCCACCCATGTTGCTAAAATATTTTGCTGGGTTTCTGCAGGCCGATGTCGAAGGGATGGGGTTTCCCTCGAGGTCTTCTTCATCCAGGAAAGTTGGGAACCTCAAGCCAATCGCACGGGAAGCAGGATTGTTTGCAACTGTTGCGCCAGGCAGATGCCACAGCTTGTCGCTTCTGGCATGGCTTCCGCACCACTTGACAAAAATGTCGGGACCAGCTGCCAGGTACCATCTTGCTGGCGGCTGCTGCGAGATCACGGTGCAAATGCCTGCAGTTGGCCGTGGTGCGACAGGGCAATGTTCGCGTTTGCAAAATTCTCCAGCTGCTTGCGCCGAGTCGCTGGCTGCTTGCCGCGGTGTCTTTCACCTCTTGGAAATCATGGTTTTGGCCTAAGTCAGACGCAGGGTGTTGATAAGGCTTCATGAGGCTGTACATCTAGCCTGTAACAGCTGTCGACTGGCCATGGCTTCTGGCAGATCCCGAGTAACTGAACAGAAGGGAGTTAAAATTGCAACAAGGCGAGGAGTTCGTCCGGATTCAGCAAGCTACAATGAGCCTTGGCTACGATTTTATGCAACATGCCTGGACACAGAGTGCGGGAGTGTTTCGGAATCGCCAAGTAGCGACATGCAGCGAAGAAGGCCGTGTTGGCTGGAAACACCTGGCGGCGAGCTTTGCTGCATGCGGGGAGGACACCCTTTTTGTTTGTTCTGATCCCACTTTGCCTACGCTTTGATGTAGGATGTCCGCCGATGGCATCCGAACTGATTCCGTTACGGTCGGGACCTGTCTCCGAGCTTTGGAGGCACTCCCTGTGGCATGCTGGGGCAGCTGTCGCGAGCACATGTTTTGCGTAGATCGGTAGTTGCTTGTTTGTTCGTACTGGACAGACCTTCGCTGTCGCTTTTTGTGTTGTCGGAGGGTTTCGTCATCCGCAGTCGTTTTCTCGCATCCGAGTTTCTGAGTTTCAAGACTGCCTTGTCATTGTGAAGCCTTCAGTTGCCGGCAGTCCGTGTTGTCAGCTCTGTTGCTTTGTTCCCAACGGCATGCCAGTAGCGCCATCTCCAGCACAAGTGAAATTCCGTGCAGGCTCTTGAGGAGATACATGTTGAAAAGTGCCTGAAGTTTTCAGTGCTCTTTGTGTTGTTTGCTTGGTCGTGGGGGGACAGCCGGACCTATTTGGATTGTCTGAGAGCGTCCTCTGGGTACCTTCTTGACGTATACACTTGTGTTCGCTTCAAGCCCCGTAGTCCGGCACCTAGCCCACGGGTACCAAAGAAAGGGGGGATTGAGACAGGCACACCACTCCAATACGTTCAAGCACAAGCACATCGCTTCTCCACCATCTCGTCACGGGGTCGGGCGTGCATTGATCTTATGGTCGAGAGTGTCTCTCTGTGTGTGTGTGTGTGTGCGCGCGCACGCGTGCGTGTCCACTCGAGTCCACTGTTCGATGTTGCAGCACCCAGGCCCTAGTGACATGTACTGCTGTCCGTTTACCCGGCGGAGCAAACGAGTTGCAATCCAGGCCTCAATGATCCCACTCCTTGCCACCCTCTTGATCAACGACTCTAGCTGTGTAAAGCCCGACTATAGAAGCAAAATGTAAATCTCAAAGACCGAAACCCTCTTGACACGAAATAGGTACACCCTGAAGCCCTTGCAGCTCCTAAAATCCCAATCCAGACAAGTTACGAAAACCAAACAGCACTCAAGGCAAAAGCGAGTGGGCCCATGGAAGCCCCAGAAACCAGACAAGCCCCCAGCCTGAACTTTGGAGAAGGTGGGATATGTCAGTGACACCACGCGCTGGACAGCGCTCAAAACAGACGAAGAAACACAAGTCAGTGTGCGCTGGTCCCTCTTGCCATCAGGTTGGCACGATCACTGAAGACTTGGCCACCAAGAAAGCCAAAACGTCAACAAGCATTCGATGGTGCTTCAATCAAGATTGGCCCCTGTGGGTATCTGTGATGTCGTACCAACAGCAAGATTAGCAGGATCGAAGCAACTTTGTCGCGCTTCTTGCCGTTTCTCTGTCCAGGCACGATCGTTTAGCTGTGGAAGTGCGGGCAGTAGCAACTGTTGCGAAATCGTTTCCCGAGATGGCCTGTCCTACAGTATTGTGTCCGCCAGAAAGTAGAGAGGAGTGCACAGCTTTTTCCAACACAGCAACAGCAGGCGGACATAGATGTTTCGAAAGTCAGAACGCACGACATGGTTCTCGCATTCTAGAGCCTCATGCCAAAGTGCTTCCGCACCAGACGCTGTCATGTCAAGACCAGGATGGCTTGTGCTGGCCGCAGGCTTCATTGCTGCCTCGTGCTTAGAGGTTTCTTGGCCATTGCTTTGTCTACAGGGTGCCTGACGGTCTCATGGTCCAGCAACCTTTGCATTTAGCCAGTAAAGTGCTTCAGTAGATGCGTGATTCAGGCAGTTGTTGGTTTCGTGACTTACTGTAGCTGCTTCCTGGATAAGCTGAGCTTCTTTGGAACCTTCCTTGCGCTGACTGTTGAATCACTGCTGAGGCTGTGTTCAGCCGAGCGCGGGGGTGCGGCGAACTTCGTGTGCGCATTGTCCGCGAGACGCTCGGTGTGAAGTCCGAAGAGTCCGCGTGGTGTCAGCTCCATGTGGAGGCCATTTCATGCCTTCAGGCCCGGATGTGCCCGGTGACTCCGTGTTTCGTGCTGGGGGGAGCAGCACTCGCTGGATCAGGGTCTTCAGTGGAAGGCATCGCTGCAAGTATTCGCGGTTCCCTCAGCATCCCTCAGCATCATCGTTTCTTTTGCAGGAAGATTTTTGTCAAGTATCCAGTATCCTGATTCAACGCTGCTGGATACTCCGAGCTTGCATGTTTACGATTGGCAGTGACATTCCCGGCAGTCCTCCGCTACTCTTGATGTGACCTTTCTCCAGGAGCGGCTCTCAGGACACGTTGGTCGTGTGAGAGCTCGTCCCTTACACATTTCCCGTGACCGAAGCACATGCAGATTACTTGGAGATGTGTAGGTGCTGATACAGAATGCGGTGGCTGCTGCTTGCTCCAGTGGTGGGCAATGGCCGGCTGCCTGTGAAGCCAGGTCCTGCATCTTTGTAGTTGGAGCCTAGGTTGATGTTGCAGGATTGGGCTGACAAGGTCGTACGCAGTGGCCGGAATCGCCTCGCCCCAGACCTGGTGTCATATGGCCGGGGCCCGCGTCCTGTTACAGTCGAAGAGGGCCGTGAAATGACTCAGCTGGCGAGGTGCGATCCTGGCAGGTTTGGATGTTGCCGGGCAGCCTGTCTCAAAACTGGCAGATGTAGTATACTTCGTGGGTTGTTGGTGGTTTCAGGGAGTTTCAGCTTCTAAGTTTTAACAGGCACTTGATCAAGGGAAGGGATGCAACCGAATCCGATGTTCACATCCGGGATTCGCGGTGTGAGGTTGTGGAACATCTCCATGATGTTCATGCAGTGCATGCAGGGTCCCCAGTCCACTCTGCTTCGGTATGTTCATTCTGTGTCACCGTCGGCAAGGCGGCACTCAGCCATTGAAGCAGACCACGTCGCAGACATGTCTTTAGTTGGTGCCATTGGATCGGGCGCAGGCGGGGAAGCGTTCAGAACTCTGCCTTGAGCCCCCATATATGCGGCACGGAAGGTGCCTGGAGGCTCGTCCTGCAGAGATGGGCTTGGCATGGAGGGACCTGGGAAATGCCGGCAGTGAACTCCGCCATCTGTAGCCTTGGTCGACTTTATCACTGGCATAGTGCGCCCGAACCTTGAAAGGTGATCCTGTTTTTGTTGATTCTGGCTTTCCAAGTCTCCTCTGTCAGTGTTGCTAAGGCAGTCCTTGCTGCAGTATGTGGCCTGCAGGTGCGCACTCCACACTGATGTCCTTGTAAGCCGCGGCGCTAGTTGATGCCAGGCGCTGCATTCCAGATCTGGTTACCTACAACACTTACATTGATGGTGCAGGTCGCGTCGGAAAGTCATGGTGCAGCTGTAACTAACGCCAAACATGATGTCCTGACAGGAATGGACAGGCGCTGGCATTTGTCACATGAGGCTTCTCACATGGCGCAGCTCATGTGCAGTTGCGGAGTGATATGCGGAACGTTGCAGCAATGCATCCTGTGAGTTTGCGAAGGTTTTCTCGAAACTAAAGAGTGGCTTCCTGGAAGCTGATCAAGTTTCTTTTGGGGCTGGAGCCTTGCTGAGATGTCAGAATCGTACCTGACTAGTCCCGGTGCCTGAGGCAGCAATGTCAGCCATGGATGTTGCTGTGAAGTGGCGAGAAGCTTTAGGTGCGACCATAAAAACGTTTCGAGGGAGTGTGAGTGTGTTGTGTGTGTGTGTGTGTGCTTGTGTGTATTTTCTTTAAACGCTGGATCTCTGAACGTAGCTACCCCACAGGTTATGCAATCCATGCGAGCATTGCAGGCGCACGTTTGGATTGGAAACTACACTGTGCATCCTTTTGTCATCCTTGCGTTATCATGTTGCTTTGCGAAAGAGGCGTCTTCCAATCAGTGGTGCTGCTCAATGCTTGCATGAGCGCATGCGTGGCCTGGCCTGCTTCTTTAACTTTTGAAGGTCAGCTGCAATGGTTCATAAAGTTAGAGAGCAAAGCTCACGCGACATAGCTTGAGCTAGCGGCAGGATTTATCAAGAGTTTGAGTTTGGGGCTTCATGTCGATGTGCGGGTTGATCGTTCCATTTTCTCCGTGTGTTGGACATTTCTGCACTTCCCATGATGAACGCCGTGTGCCGGTGAGTTGTTTTGTGGTGACTGACTTCCACGAGACCACCGCTTCCTTCCTCGTCTTCCGAGGCAGTCTCGTGCGATTCTTTTTTCTGCTGCACCTGCCTGTGCTCTGAACCACAAAGAGACAGATCTAGCATCATCGGTTCGACTCCTTGCTTGTCAATGCTGAGCTGCTGAGTCTCCAGAACTTTGTATCCCGCCCCCTTCCAGACGGAATGTTCTTGCCTCCACAACCTGCATTCGGATTTCGACGTCGTCCAGCCTTGCCCAATCCTGCTCGGTGGGGCGTCTGCAGACTCGGCTCATGCTAGACACACAGTGAGGTGATCCTGAGTAATTAATGGGTACCGACTGTACTAAATGTTTGAAGAAATGGCACAATTGCCGAAAGGGAGCGGCTATGCAGAATGATACACACAAGACAGGTCTCTGCGGTTCTGTGGCGCGCAGCTTTGGCCCTTTCCCTCCGGCACGGAAAAGCGCAGGCACGTGTGTGTGTGGGAACCTTGAGCCGAGCATCCTTGAGCTGCTTTTCGAACTTGCGCGGTGTTGCGTGGCCTGGTTCCCAGGAGCGGCCCAACCTCGGCTGCTTCGAGACGATCCTTTTTGGCTGTCGCTGTCTCAACCTTGGCTTCAAGCCGCGCACTGACGTGCTACCAAAAGCAGGCAAAAAGGCTGCGGCTTGGTCGTCCACCTTGGCGTTGATCAATTCGCTGCAGTTGTGGAGGGCTCAGGATGTGTCAGGCAGCGGGCAGTTGCACAAATCCCTGGAGCTTGACTTCTTCTTTGCGGGTCGTAGCAGCTACGGACGAAATGGTATGAACTCAGAGTACTCCTGTGTCAAGATACAGTCATCGAAAATCGCAAGGGCAACGGGTGACATGTTCAGTCTATAGTTTTTGAAACGTTCCTCGACGGCAAAGCGGAAGTTCGACTTCTTTGTCAAACTTGAGCTTTGTGCCTGCACATTCGCAAGAGTGAATCTGGAAACTCTACGTTATACAACCGTTCTACACACCCCACGTGTGCTCATGCTGATTCTGGGCTACCATGTAATCCTTTTTTCCATGCTAAGTCACGCAACTCAGCAGAAGTCATGAGGATACCTCATTTCATTGCTTGTACTTCAGAAAGCCGACTTCGTACGGTGGTCAAAGACGGCTTTAGGTCGCGGTTGGTGCCAGATGCAACTGCACGAGCTTGCGGTGCAAGAGCATGTGGAAGCCGGATGCCCAGCCTTCTCAAACCTCAATGAAAGGAGTTGAAAGAAGATGATGCTGTGAGGCAAAAGCGCTTGGCAAGCGAGTTCGGCAGCTTTCCCTCCGAGGTAGACAAGTGTTTTGCATGAGCTTTACTTTAGTATGTATATTGCAGGAGTCTCAGTTTTGTGTATCCATACGCCATAGACAAAGCTATGGCGCAATTCTTTCCTACGCAGGATGCAGCCAAGCAAGCTCTTGCAGATCTCAGAGGCCTTCCCTCCCTTAAGAACTTTCCATCGAACATGTTTCTGAGCACGTGTATGCCTTCTTGCAGAATCCAGGGTGCTTTCGTATTCTGGTTCAGGGCGGACTTCAACTTGCATGATGTCCATTCCCCTCTCCAACTTGCACTGCACCTCACGCCTCATTCCATTCCCATGACGGTTCCGC